AAGGCGCAAGGCGCTTATATAAAATATTTGTAAATTTATTAATCATATGGCATCATATGGTAGCACACTGTTTACTTAATTATTATTGTTATTAATTATTATTGTCATTTAAAAATACAGATTTTTAATTGTATTTCATTATTATAAATATGAGAAAGTGTAATAAACAAGGGAAGCAAAATTGTTATGATGCTATTTTAATTACTTATGAAAATGTATTATTCTGTGAATAAACATAAAAAAAGTAGGAACCGAGTCTGATTTGCTTCTTTTTATTTTGTTCAAACAAAAAATATACATTAACAAAAAAAAAAGTTATGAATTTATGAACGAATCTAAAATTCATAGTTTTAGAAACAAGTAACACGACCAATCTACTTGGTATATCACTATACAATAAGGTTCTTTGTTTTGAGGTCCTAAAATTAGTAAAAATATTTTTTTTAAAATAACTCCTTTACTATTTATCGATATGTACCACCGTTGGCATAACGAGCGATGGCAAGTGGGATTGACTGCTACTGGCACTGTATTACTTTTTGTATAGATATTTATTAGAACCTGCTCAACAGAAAATTTTACCTGTTCTTAGGCCTTGTTTACATTTAAATTAGTGCAGGTATTTCCTAGTTCAGTTTTTGTGTAGTGATTTAACCCAAAAAAAAAAATTTGATTAATTAATATAATCAAGGCTGGTGAGCGACAGCGATAATACGATTTAAACATTATGTGATAAAATCGTGCATATTAGTTATTAATATTAGAAAGCTTGCTATAAGAAGGCCGATACAATTAACCACGTTTACGGTTAATATAAACACGCCAACTCCTAGCTCAGAAATTAATAAAGTCTAATAAAAAATAATGATTAATTGCAATATTTCTACAGTTTTGAAACATATTTCATTTCAACAGTGCGTGTAGCAAGGTCACAGGTATTTAATATATTTACTAACTTGGCAGGTAGGTATATACATATAATATGTAATCCACTTTAAGGATAATACTACATATAAAGACAAAAGGAAATTTATCTTTTATGTATAGGTGCATTTTATTGAGGATTATCACCTGTTGTTTAGAAGTCAAGCTCGATATACATACCTATTACGTAACGGCATACCCCCTGTATCATTCTGCCCTTTCTGTATCACTTAGATTAAGACTAGAGATTAATTTGTACGCATGTTGGATACAAATTAGGCACTTATAGAAATATCATATTAGTTCTATAACGAGATCGACCCATCTCACATTCGTAAAACTGAACTAAGTTCAAGATTATAGGTCCGAAAGATTTATGAAGATAAATCGGTTTTATTGCCTTATTTATACTTAATTAGTATTCGAAACTAAGGCTACAAAGAGACACGCGACGTGCGTTTGACGGACGTGAGTCGTGTGCCACTGACGTTGTTTTTGATTCGTCATTCATGAATAGCAAGTAGGCATACTTGCATTAGTAATTTTAAATTATTTCCATGATTAAGATTTATATTATTGCCAAGTAAGATACTGATTATCGAATGAGGTAATTTAAATAATAACAATACAAGCTATAATGAACAATTATTTTTTAAAGTATCACCAAAGTCTTTTCTATGAGGAGAGTCAGAATAAGTAAGTATTTTTTAAAAAACAACGCCCTATGTAAATTTTAAGAGAAATAAATGGAGACGATCGATTGTGATAAAGATCTCCTACCAGCAGCGGAACTAACAAGAGCAGCAATGAATGACAATAAAAGTATTTTTAAATTAATGTGTTATTAATCTGTTTGCTTAATTTAATACAATTTTATGACAATAAAAAACATTACTGACTTTTATACAGTCATAAGCTCAAATGCGTGAAACGACAATCTTGTTGGTTAATTTTGTTGATGATGCTAAAATTTAGCACAACGACGATATGTAGCATCCGTTGAGTTGTAATTTAGCCTTGAGTAAGTTATGCACATCCGATACCAGACGTAACGCAAACTAGTACTAATACGTTTTCCTAATATTACTTGTAATGTGTTACCCATAACACATTACAAGTAATATTAGGAAAACGTATTAGTAGTAGTATTACATTAAAATGAATTGCAAAGTGTAAGTAATCTTAAACCAATCAACGTTTTGCATTAACACACCATATGTCGTTTCTTTTCGCATTATTTGACAAGGTGCTCATCGGCAGAAAACGCAAGGTGGATCCAACATCTGCGCTCACTTGGGGTCGAATCACGGCGGAATCAATGCCCACACCTGTCGTGTTGGCGAACAACTTTTTTCGAATATAATTTTCGATAAAGACGTTTTTGCATGCCATGCCATTATAAATATGTATGTAACATGTATAATGATTAATACAGCGAGCTGTAAAAAAGTTTTCTTTTCACAAACCTACCTGTTTAAGTTTTAGTGGCGAAACTAAACCAACCAAACCAGTATCTAAAATTCTTATTCATACTTATACATATTATAAATGTGAAACTGACTTTGTTTGTTACGCTTTCACGCCTAAATCACTAAACCGATTTTGAAAATTCTTTTACCAACGGAAAGCTACATTATCAGCAAGTAACATACGCTACTTTTTAATGCGATAACCGACAAAAACGCGGGCGTAGCCGCGGGCAAAAGTTAGTATTTTATATTTAGATAATAAATTATCTCATTACGCGTTAACCTATATTGACTTCTCTATTTCAAGCAAATTTAAGTACCTACTGCAAGAATTTCACTTTATAATCGCTAAATAAATCGTGTGCAGAACTCCCTTACAATATTACAATATTGTTAATATTAAATTAGGTGAACCCCTTGGGTTGTTTGCATATTGTTCCCATTTAAATTTAACGTAATATCCCCACCTGCTGGCATTTAGGTCATCTGGATCTATTCCAAAAGATTCAGCTCGACATAATATGCAAAACAGTGTTTATCCTGTCTTTTGAGACTAAAGTGAGCAAACTGTCTAGCTAACAGAAATATACTTTAGAATCGAATATACTATGTAACTTCAGGCACTGGTCATTTTTAAATTCAAAAAAAAATTAGACCTAAGTAGGGATTCTCGGTGCGATCTATAGGAAGATCGATCTTTTGCAATACGTAAGAGATCGATCGGATTCTCATAAGATCAAATAATCAAATCAAATAGGAACACTATTACTGTTGTGCCTTCCTTTCGTTAACCCTAACACACTATCATATTTTGTAACTCACAATATAATCTAAAATGAATATAATCACAATATAATTCAAGTACCGCTACATTCGGTTGGCGTACCTTTACGTAGAGAATTTATATTTTTTGTTTAGATTATTGGGATCGCCTAAACTTAATTGTTTTGTTCCTACCTTTAATAGCTAGTATGATGTAAACAAAACAGGTTTACTACCTGTTTATTAATTCACCTCTACCAACGAAGACAAATGTTTGAAGTTTTTCATTAAATACGATACTTGTGCAGAAGCGAGCGCAGTTAAAACAAAAAGGTACAAACATACTCGTAACAAATCTTTAGATGCTAATAATTGGTTAGTGACTACAAACCTGTGATCGTGGATTTCTAATAAAAAAGTGAAATTAAAAAAAGTGTTACATATACATATGTCGTGTAATGATATTCTCCTCATCACTGAAATATCGATTCAGATAAATTCGATTAAACTTTTCTTCGTGGGTTACAAGTTATAACGATTCAACAAATTAATTCGTTTCAATTCTGAGGATCATTGATTTGATTGAGATACTTGATCTGCGGTGATAGTAATAAGTTTACCCCTTCGACAGATTATTTTAGATTCACTACTTGTGTATTGATCGGTAACAAAGAATAGAACAAAAATGAATACATAGTTACAATGCATTATCTTATATATAAAATTTTCGTGTAACAATGTTAGTTACCATACTCCTCCAAAACGGCTGGACCGATTTTAATGAAATTTTGTGTGCACATCGGGTAGGTCTGAGAATCGGCCAACATCTATTTTTCATACCCCTAAATGACAAGGGACCCCTAAATATTTTTTTCAATATTCCGTAGAAATTATGTATATGGCAAAACAACGTTTGCCGGGTCAGCTAGTTTTCTTATAATGTTCAATCAAATGTCCGTGTGGTGACGGAATAAGAATCCAGACTTGAAGAAGAAGAAAACTTAAAACTAATTCTATAACAATCCGTCTGGCCAGCGTGTATGGTGGTATAGCAAGGCCAAAACCTCCTTTTTAAGGAGAGGGTTATGCCCAGCAGTGGACTATTAAAAGCTGTTGATCTGATGTGTGATGTTCAAAGTAGGAAAGTTGAGAACCATATCTTTTTTATTTTCCTATAACACAATAGCCAAGTGTGAGAGACTTTTACCATTATCTTTATAAATGAATCATGGGAAAATATATGATGAGATAGTCATGGTTGCTCCTTGTGAATAAGTTATGTATATTTTCGAAATGAATAGTGCATTTTGATAAACTGCGAATGAAACAGCGGAGTTTTTATTCTTTAATTACAATGTCTACTTGTTTTATCACATGAGAGTTTTATTTCTCCCCGAGTAAGCAGTAACAGACAGGTTTCTCTGAATAAACAATATTCTAAGTAATCAGCTATTCACATATCAAGTTCATATTAAGCATATCTAATCAATTTAGTAACAGAATTGCGTGTTGAGTCGTCGTAATGAATGGGGGTTGGGAACAAAAAGTAAGGGTGTGGGGGTGCGATGCGTCATCGCGGCAAATCCGAAAGGCTCCCCTGCGCACCCTCCACCAAAACATCGATCGATCTCTTCACCACAAAAGCCATGCGCAAAGCCCGCCCTTTTTGTTTATATTTTCTTATTCTATCACCTCATTATTTGGTAGAGATTTCTTATTTTCTGAAGTTACTGTGATTTTTTTTTATTAATATGTACACATGTTATTAGGTAGGTGATATCATAATACGTAATTACACGCTCTAATTAAATGTTAATTGTGTAGGTACCAAATGTTTATACTTACTGGCACTCATTCATAATTTCTTCCTGGCTGCGAACCTGAACTGGGGCTAGCTTTTCCACGCTTTCCTCATAGTTTCCGAAGCACTTGGTAATCTTCTCATCAAAAGTATTCACCAAATCTTCAAGAGAACCGGAGAAAGTTTCCGTGAAATTGTCTCCTTCACCATTATGCATATTGTCCTGTTTACACTTCACGGGTTTAGGTTCTTCATTATCATTTATTTTGTTGGAGTCGGTTTTCATTTTGACCATTTCACTTTTCATATTATTAATATTGTTTAGGCGAATGTCGTTACCATTTATGGTTTTCTGTGGGTAATCAGCAGTAGATAGACAATCGTCTGCATCTTCAATTTGCGCGAGCGGCGCTTCGAACTCGAGCTCGGCCATTCTTCCAGCCGCTTCTCGCATGACCGTACGTCCACTCGCGTTGTATGACGCGCGTACACTGAAACGCGAAAGCCCGACGCTGTTTCCTCACACCCGCTGCCGTCCCTCGCGCTCTCCGTCGATGCTCGTACCTCTGTCACTTGGACTGCCTTCTTATTTTAATTCAGTATTATATATTTACCGATATATGCGGTGTACATAGCGAAACCCAACCGCTGTTAAACCTAGTTTTTATGGTGCACGCTATTTCATTCCAGATACAAAAATCTACATGACATGACAAATGAACAATAAAGTTTGGATGTATGAAATAGGTATGTATGAATGAATATTCGAAGAATGACAATGAGCAAGCAATTTTGGCAATGACAATAACAACTAAAACAATAAGCATCACTAAGTTTTAACGGGCTTTACAATTGAGATGAAAAATGACGAGATTCTGCCTTAAGTTTATAGATATTTCATCAGTTATTTGGGTACAAGCTAAAGGTTTTCTACTACAGTGCTAGAACATGCAAATAATAATATAACTACAGTCAATCCATTTACCTTTTTATCTAATTCATTTAACAACACTGATTTTTTTAAATTTACATACAAAAATGAAGAACGTGTAAGTTTCATTAACTGACATTGTACCTTTTATAGTATTGCAAATGTCTTAACATCAATAAATTGGTCAATGTATTTTCGAACAATTTTACATAGTTTCGCGCGCGACTCATTGTTTCAATGTTGCCATGTAACAATTATTTCTGATCGCTATAGACATGGGAAAAAATCAAAGTGAACTGTGATTTATCGTTCGATTTTTGCGTACGTAGGTTAAGGTTGTCAGGTGGGCTTTTTAACAGTAAATCTACTATTTTTATAATTATTATGCAGGGAATGGTTGCAGTGGTATGCGTTAAATAGGCGAAATAGTGTCTTTATGAATCGCCTGAAAACAGCTTATTGGCAACAACGCGTGAGTAAGTAGTTACCCTAACATAGGTACGAAAAAATCGAATGATAAATCAACGGTCTTTTACAGTTTTCTGTGATTTTGTCCCATGCCTAGATCGCTATAATGATTATATATATCTGAGACGAAATTAATTAAACAAAAATACACGACAATTATTTACCGAAAATTACTTGGAAGTAAAGTAAGTTAAAATGAAGTAACATAAATTATACTCTATTAGATTATAGTATAATCTCTAGTAAATTTCGGTCAATATTTGTCGTGTATTTTTGTTTAATTAATTTCGTCTCAGATATATATCAGAGAGCTGCTTACTAATGTTTACCTTCGTGGAAAAAGTGCCGATTAGTACATAGTGCTAAATGTTGAAGATATTTACTACGGAATAAATCTTATGACGCAATAAAATTCATTTAAATCTAAGGGTCTTTGATTGATTAAGATAGCTGATTGTGTGGTGATGGCAGTAAGTTAATGCTTTGACAGATTATTTTCGATGCTATATTTGCACTATAATTATATTTTTATACTCACATAGCACCTGTGTACTGATCGGAAACAAAGACCAGAATAAAAAATGAGTAATATTTACTACATAACATTATTCTTACTAAACAAATGAAAATATCTAAGATAAAAGTTGTAGATCATATAAGTGGTCTTCAATAAATATACTACCTTGAATTTACTTGACACATCTAACACACGGTCGTTTGATCTCAAACTAGGCAGAGCCCGTACTATGGTAACCAAACTAATGATAAACGTACTTATATTATATTTCTTAATACATAAATATTATAAAAAAATTACACCCAGCCATGGAAGAAATGATCGTGCTCATCACACAATCGAATCGTACAGACGACCTGTGACTTAGTAGTCAAGATCACCAACCTAAATTTAATCTGGAAATTATCGAAAATGTTCTATCGTTTTCGTACAACTAATACTATAAAAATATTTTATTTGGAAGAAGAAAGAAAACAGTCGAGTCTCTGTTGCACTGGACGTATTGATAGAGCTTTGTGTCATTACTGCATTATTTTTTTTACTTTTTTTTATTATAGGGCAGACGAACAGACGGGTCACCTGATGGAAAGTGACCATCGCCGCTCATGAACATCTGCAACTCAGGAGTCATAAACGCGTTGCCGGCCTTTTAGGAAGGAGTACGCTCTTTTCTTGAAGGTCGTATCGGTCCGGAAATAATTCAAACGATAATTCGTTCCAAAGATTGGTTGTGCGTGGCAAAAAGTGTCTAGAAAAGTGCACAGTAGTGGAGCGCCAATTATCCAGGTGATGGGGATGAAATTTTTTCCGTGTGGAACGATGGCGGAAATGTGCGGCCGGTATTAGTCTGAACAATTCTTCGGAGCACTTTCCATGATATATACGATAGAGAATGCAGACTAAAGCCACATCTCTGCGTAACGCCAAGGGATCGAGCCGATCGGAGATGATTGGGCTATCAACGATTCGAGTCGCACTTCGTTGTATGCGGTCCAGAGGGAGAAGCTGGTACTGAGGTCCCTGCATAGAGATGAGAACAGTATTCCATTTACGGCCGGACTTATGCCGATGCTTAGAGCTAAAGGTGGTGGGCCGAAGTGAAATACTGCCTTGATCTGTTCACCGAGCTTCTTCCAGGCCAATTTGACCTTACTCTCTAAGTGACCCGAAATAGGACTTGAATACGACAAATGGTATCTTCTTTGCGGTGAACGCACAGACTTATGTCTTTTTTGGGTTGAACTGGACTAGATTTAATCGGCCCACATCTAAAACCTTCACTAAGGAAGTTTCAATTTCAGACACAAGTTTAAGGCCTTAGTCATAGCGGGAGCGGGAGCAGCGCATTTCAATGCATACATTTATATGGAACTGGCTTCGAAGGCGTAAGAGCGTCTAGCAGTGCCCGTGAATCTGCATTGACGTAGTGTTGAGTATTATATCTTTTTTGCGTTTTAACGACCACGATCAAAATGCCCACCGATGTGGTGGAGCAAATTAGTACAATGATTTTTGATAGGACACAAATATGGAACAGCAAAGACGAAAACCATAAAAATAGAAGGGTTATTTACTAGTTACGGGAAAAAATACAAAACGAAATGAATATTGAAGGTAAGTAACTATAAAAGGTTTTATTATGTCATAAAAGTGATTACAATAATTAATACGATTATTTACAAAATATATCTTGATTTTTTCACGATTGTATTGTGCTTTATTAGATAATCTGTTGTGTGTTTGTGGACTTGTTTGTTAGTTCTTGATTTATATTTACACTACTAAAATCAATATCATTATTACCGTCCTTATCTCGCATAATGTTATACAACAAACAGCAAATTTACATCTTTTGCTCACCATAAATCAAAGGTCGAGAAGGAATTTGTATCAAAAAGATGTGTCGTCACCGTTTAGAAAATTCGTTCGCGACGAAAGATACTAATTTCTACGCCGTTATAGCCCTACCGTGCGATCTGCCCGCTGGCTTCGAGAACGGGCGTTGTCGCACCGCTCTCCTCGCCGCGACCGCCGCCGTCCCGCTGACGCTGACTTCGTGACCGAGGCTTTAGGTTTATTTTATTTTTGTAGATTGTAAATTACATTAAGTACGTTGTTTACATAACATAGAACAACGAGAAAATTATAAAATATACTCCAATGATACCGTCTCAACCTTTAATGATTCCTATTACATAAACAATATGGCCTGTCATGATAAATAGACGTCAAAAACAAACAAGCCGATTTATATATTTTTGACAGTATCCCAGCCGTTTGAAGTTTGTCAAGACAAAAATGGAAATTGCAAAATAATAACATGATCATTCAACAAAACATATTTGGTGAAATTTAATAGTGTTCGTAATGTTCTTAATCAAACAATCTTTGAATAATAGGACTATAAAATCATTATTGAGATTATATAGGTAAATATATCACATTCGTCCTAAATTAGACGTTTCATGTAGAGATTATATTTTTCTTCCTATGTATTATTTTTCAGTATTGGTAGAAAAAATCACTATGACATCCTCAATTTGCGGAAAAACTGTTCGGACAAGGATATCAAAGAGGCTTTCATACAACTAAGCAAAGAGGTATGTACGAGCATAGTAATTGAGAAAGAGAATGACATAATAATCTTTTTAGAGAAAGTTGGTAAATCAAATTTTATTAAAAACGTATGAAGGTACATTTCACCTTTATTTAAGAATGCAGCCTGGACTGAACTTAGAAAATTATTTTAATAAGCTCGGTCAAAGTGAGATACCTATTGAGCTGATTTAGGTATCTTTAAAGCATGTCGGTTAAAGTACAGTAGTTTATTATACTTACACTGGTACTTTCTTTGTGTTGGATGCTAACATTAGGCTTTATATGGCTGAAGTACAGCAACACAAAACAATGTAACACCTGCCAACAATAACATTGTCAGTTGGCATCAATGTAGGAATTGAAATGCATTCACCACCCAGGGAGAACTATATATAATATATAATTATCACTGTCTCTATTTATTTTATTATTTGGAAAATTTTAAAGCCTTTCACTAGAATATAATATAACATACCACAGAAGACATATTTATGTTCTGTCTTCTATCCTTTGGATTAAGTATATTTTACCCGCCATGAAATGCTGAAACATCTTCACTATTGCAGTCTAAAATATGTTTTAAGAATAAAGTGGTAGATTACATATAATTTATAATACTCATAATTTTTTGTTATTTCTATTTCAGTATCATCCAGACAAAAATAAAGATGCCAAAGCACAAGAAAAATTTGTGAATGTTGTTGAAGCTTACAATGTATTGGGCAAGCCTGGCAGTCGTGCTCGCTATGACAATATGATAGCAATAGAAACCAATAACTCCTATGTATATAGAACACATGTTCCTTACAAGTAAGTTAAACCCTAAATCACAGAGTGAACCTATAAATGCACATTAACAAGAAACCAATTACAATTTTTTCGTCTGTGTGTATATCCCCTTGGATACCACCCATCTGTGGGGTGGTTATGTGACTCAAACTGACAAAAAACCGCTTGCCGTCTCAGGTATCCATAGCCTCTGGATGCATCTGGATGTATCCTAGAAAAGAAACCTCACAGGACTCACCTTCTGGTCTCATTATTAGACCATTGTGGTCAATTTGATGGAATCATCAAAGCAATCATATCAGCCTAAACATGATTTACTAGTAGCTACAGATCAGTTAGACTGTCCACCTTTTTTGCATCATCACATCAGTTCTATGATGCCAAAATTATATGTTTAGCTTAAGTTACATATAAATGTATACATTTCAGTTAAACAATTAGAAGTAGGTTAAAATAACGTCCAACACTTGTTTACATAGCAATTAAATATATTAAAAGGGTAAAAGCAGATATTTATAGCTAGGCAATTAGTCTCTTAAAATTGGTGTGGAAAAAATATTCAGTATTGAACCCTTAGTGTTAGATTGTTCATAGAAAATAGTATTAATCATTTATTATTACCATACAAGGATTTGTGGTATATCTAACTATATTAAGATGTGATATGGTTAGTAACACAGAAGAGGTCTACTAAATTACTTAGACTCTGTACCACTATTAAATTTTCTTGATTCAGAGCACACAATCCTTTTTGTACTAAGTAGACATGGGACAAAATCACAGCAAACTGTAAATGACCGGTTATTTATCATTAGATTTTTTCGTACATAGGTAGGGTTACTACTTACATATGCGTCGTTACCAAAAAGCGGTTTTCAGACGATGCATAAAGACCCTATTTCGCCTTTATTATAGCTGCCATTGCCTCCATAATAATTAAAAATCGGTCTACCCAGATTTTACGTAGATTTTCGCCAAAACTTGTAAGTACCAAAATTTACCTTAATTTTCAACTTTTTTTATTTTTTTGAATTTTTCCTTTATTCAAAACCTCTTGACTTCCGAGTTGACCTAAAATTGACAATTTTGATTAAAAGCAAGGTCTTACAGCACAAGTAAAGGGAAAATTCCGAAAAATAAAAAAGTTTGACAAATAAGGTAAATTTTGGTACTTACAAGTTTTCGTGAAAATCTAAATTTGGCCTTTTTATCGTGTTGACTTCAGGACCTTGATTTTTATAAGAAATGTGTTCGTTCATTCTTGAGAAAATCGGTGGTGACACAAGGACAGACAGACAAGAGAGTGATCTTGGTTCCTTTTTTACCTTTTGAGGTATTAAACCCTAAAAATACTAGATTTACTGTTAAATACGCTTTTTACCTAGCACCTCTAACCTACGTACACAAAAATCGGATGAAAAATCACAGTTCACTGTGATTTTGTCCCATGTCTAGTACTAAGGTTACTGTTCAGAAACAGTACCAAAGGATAATGCTCATTGCCCGTATCATATTGCGTCAGGTTAAAGGTACTTTAACACCAATAATAATGTTTTATCTTTGTGTTAAATGAAAATCATTTAACCCTCCCTCCAACCCTCTTTTTTAATAGAATTTAAAAAATCAAAGATTAAAGAAAAAGAAAGATAAACGACTCAACGAATGGCGTAGTGGTTTAAGCGGTCACCTCGCCGCTGCCTACTGTGCTGCGGTTGTGGGTTCGATCCCTACATGGGACAACTGGGTGATCCATAAATTGTTGTTCTGAGTCTTGTTCTTCTTTATGTTCGTGTCATGTGTCTGTACAGTCCCCCACGACACAGAGAGTATTCCTAGTGCGGTCTTTTTAAAAAAAAAAAAAACACCCTCATATGTATAATAGAAATTATAAAAATCACATATATATCAATAATAATCACGTGTACCAATAAAACAAATATTATCAGGTGTGTTTTTTTAATTTATTGAATATTTCGAAAAAGCGGTTCCACATTTCATTCATCTGTTTGGTAGTGAAAAGTCAAATAAAACCTAGACTCTTGAGAAATTTGTTTCGACACACATTGGTATGGGTTCTCATACAAAAATGGGCATTCTCCTTTAATGTTTTTGTTGAAAGTTAATAAAATAATCTATATGGCTGGTCTTTAATTTTATGTGAACCATATTCTGCAGAAAAAAAAAGTGTTGGTCAAATTACTAATGCTAATTAACTATCCAAAATTAACTGTATTAATATTGTAAAACACATTTTACATAGTTGTGATGAAAACAGAACATTTAAATTAGAAGTAAATTGTGTGAGTAGTTTGGTAGAAGAATCTCTTTGATAGTTTAGTATTCAAATTTCAATTTTGTGTGTACACCTTTATGTAGATTGGATAATTTCTGGACTACATGGTTCATATTTATCAAGTATTTGAGTTGATGTTACATTTCAAATGTCACCTTTAAGTATAATATTATGATTTGTATAATTTTCCAACTTGCAGTTTACGTAAAAATCCTCAGTACAGTTACTATTATGCATCTCAAACTCAAACAAACACCGCAAATAATGCAAGAAGCTCTTTCTACAATCGGACAGCATCGACAACATCAACAAAATTACCAAACTACGTTGTAATAGGTTTTTGTACAGGAGTTGCATTTATTGGCGTAATACTGCAGATTTATGTGATCAGGTAAATAATTATTATTTTCACTATTGTATTTATTTTAGTGTAAATTTCATCCATTCAGTGGCTTTGAACTAAAATTGCCAATTCAACTTGGTATATAACTTCTACCCTATATTTCGTCTTACTAAGACTAATTTTATTCCTTTACACTTTAGACTCAAATACATAATATCAAATCTGAATTTTCAGAAATATGTATATGGCTCAACGCAAACAGGCTCTGGAGAAATCAAAGAAGCTGGCTGAAGAACTGGAAGCAGTGCGCGCAAACGCTTTAGCCAATGGAAATGAGGTAATAGTTTAACTTGCATCATCTTATTTATGTTGCATTGCAGCTGTGATCCTAAACTCAAGAGGTTTACTACTAGCTACTTAGACAAGAGTTCCATTATGCGCCTCCTGATTCTATCATCAGAATATTTCCAAGATACTAGAGTAAAGTATTGTCATCCAATTTTTATGTACATTGTAAAAGTTTCATTTAGTAGGTTAAAATTTACGTACTAGATTTGTTTATGTATAGATATTTAGAAAAATAAATATATGTGTTTTGTAACTTCTAGAATGACATTACGAACTCTAGAATTACATTTTACTGGTATCTGTACCAATATTGTGACTATAAAATATCGGATCCAATTCAGCAATTCAGCGATTATATCTTGCTGCTACAGCTGTCATGCTGTCAGATACCGGTATATAGTTATAAAGGTATATATTTCAAGGTAACCCGAACCACTACTACAAAATACAAACATTTCAAGCCGTGGCTGGAAGGAGTTATCCCGTAACCGTTATTTTCAACCATCAAGATTATATTCCACTGAAATGAACACAATCTATTTAATATTTATGAGTGAGTACATGTGCAAAGAGCTACAACGAGCGAGATTGTCTAATAGAATATTATTTCGACTCCTTATATGTACGCCTAATAGAATATATTTTGCTTTTTGGCAATTGTCTGTATTTTTTTTTAAATTAGGCACTCTTATTAGGAATTTTGGTAACTCAATGCCCGCTAAAGCTCAAGCTCAGCTTAATACGCATATCCTCAGAATCAATCTGAAGATATACGTATTAAGAAAAAAAATGATATCATACTTATAAAAGCAACACTTAAATGTCACATTAAAGTTAATTCTATGTACGCCTATTCTATCCGTGTGGCAGTTTTTACGTGATTTTTCGTGAATTTGAACATGAAATATAATATTTAGAAGTTACTTACAGGGATCCTACTTAGCTAATTGTTATTTATTAGTATAATTAACCTTACTTTTCTTATGTCTATTCTAGATGCAAACACGTCTTCTACTGGACAGGATCGTAACTGCGGCGAACCCAACTGTTGCTACAGCATCCCTCGGCCAAGCGCTAGTAAACGAAAAAAAGTGATTCTTTTTATTTATTTTTGTAGATTTTAGATGATCTGTTGTAAAAATTGTACATTGTAGATAATTATGACTTGAGGAGTCGAAAAACCCCTCCAATATTAAATGTAGTACATATATAATATAGTCGATGCATGCTAAGTGTACCTAATTGAAATTTGCAAATTAAATTTTATTTATTTTAGTCATACTACAGTAGCTAGTTACAATTTTTAATCACAATGTGATGAACAGAATTCATTAGAAGATTCCTTATTAGAACACTATAAGGCACAATAAATTGTCATAACTGCTTAATAAAAAATTAAAATTGTAAAAGAAGATAAAAAAGAAAACAAATTTAATTTCATCCAAATATATAAAAAAAAAAGTAATATTAAAAAGTTACATTAAAAACACTTTGTAAGTTAAAACATTGACATAATATTAAAAGTACGAAAAATGGTTGTGAAATAGTTGAAAAATTAATTTAAAAATAAACAGTAAAGCCAAATCAATAAAACAAAATATTGTTTTGTATAATATGTTCATGGCGCCTTTTTTTATTTTTCATTTTGTCGGTTTTATTTTGGCACCACATTTAATAGTTGCAATGACTGAAATAAATTCGAATAAAGCGGAATTAACACAGTGAAAGCGTTCTTTAAAAGGGCTAGACTGATAGTGGGCTGCAAGAAATGTTATTCTTACATTATTAAGCGTTGACTTTTATTTAATAAAAAAAAAACCAAAAAACTTAAATCTAAAAAATTGACGATGATTAAAAGCTTTTGCTATCTAATGTATTGACTTTCAATAATGGTTTTTTGATTTAACTTTTTTGCACTAAGGAACCGATATCTGAATTTATGTTTTTCTATAAATAATAAAAAAGTATCAATTTAATTGTAAAATATCGGTCGAAAGCGTGATTTGATTGGTGCAAATGTCGCCTCTTACTTGTATTTAGAGATCGGCCATAATTCAAGTAAATTTTGAGTTTTGTTTTATTTCATGTGACAGTACAATTTGAACTGACGTCGTATAGAGTTTGTCCATTTAGCTTTTTGTAGAGGTTTTCAAAAAAAAAGAAAAAGAAAAAAATCTCATCGAAACGACTTAAGTATGGCGATTGTTCGAATTAATCACCTGAGTGATCACCCGAAATTTAGTATTTGTATATGAACACTTACTGTTTAGTAAATGTCACTACATGTATAGAAAAATAGATATTTTTAATAATGCTATATCATCTACCTCCAGTGGAAAAACATACGTTTTATAAAGTTTTGTAAAAAGTAGTGAATTTTTTATAGTAAAAACATATTTGAAATATATGTGTTTGGTTTTATTTCTTATTAAACTAAATACTGTAATAGTTTGATGTAGCTCTGATTCGTTAGCAAAATGTAGCTATAATAATATTATAACATTCTACCACAATCACACAACGCCATCTACATAGTCCCAAACTAAGCAGAACTTGTAATATGGTTACTAGACAACTGATATAAATACGTATGTACTTTTTTTTTTGTAAATACATACGTGATATACATAGAAACATCCAGACCAAATCAAACATTAAATGTTCAACAGTAAATGTAAGGTTTGAATTGAGCGGGCATTGAACCCGCGACCAGACTGTTACGCAAACCACTACGCCATCCACTACTGAAAGTAAAGTAAGAAATAGAATCGACTAGCTAACCATAGATCCAGTTACTATTGTTCACGGAAATATTGGTAAAACTAATTTAAGCATCGTATCGGTAATGTTGTAGTGTTTATAAAGAATAAACGTTTTACACACGGTCTATTTCAGAGATGTCTGATTAGTTTGGGAGCCGACAGACTTTATTCTTACAATTATATTTATTCTTATAAATACCAAATATGGATCATTTTATCCAATATTGTAGTAGTTAATTTTTTATTTATGATATAGGGGGCATACGTGTAGGCCCTCAATCCTGCTTTTTTAATATTGTATCAATAGACTGTCGATGGAATGTCGTCGGAATAGTATACTTTTCGTATTCTACTAACATAGTAGAATACAATAAGTGCAAAACTATTCCAAAGGCCTCTTAAATAAAGACCAATGGCCTCCCGATGACCTATCACTGATCTGCTACTGATAAAAATATCGTCGATGTCTTTGTAAGGCACTGTTGCTGGTGATGTGTCACTATATCGACAGACTATTGACACTGTTTTTTTTAAATCTCTTTATTGTACACAATTGCAGTATTATTTATTTTTTATTTTTATTTTATTTTATTTTATTGAATCTCCAACAAGAAATACACCTTACATGCTAGTTATAAAGCCAATAAAATTTTAAGTCTTGTGCTTCCTCAATTATAGGAGACCACAACATGGACATTACAAAGTAAGATTAAAGACAGTGGCCACAAATGGCCTTTGTAAATAAGAAAAAAAAAACAATCAAAGAATCATAACAATCAATTGTGCAAAAAATTGTAGATTATAAATTGCAAATTAGCAGCAGTCAAAATTCAAAATTTAAATGGTAAGGAGGTACGTCAACAATCACACAGTGTTCAATATATGAGTGCGAACATTTTTTTTAAATTTACCCAGACTATTAGAAAAGATGTCTATGTCCTCCGAAGCAACTGAAATGGTGTCATATTCGCGAGTCATCCTAGCAATTGGTGCTTGCTTCCCTAAATTCGTCCGGGCTCGTGGGACCTTAAATAGCGGGCGAGGGTAGCGTGGGATTCTAGTTGGAACACCTATACCGATCTTACTGAGGAGGTCTGGACAGTCAATGTAGTTATGGAACAGTTTGTATAAGAATACTAGATCAAAGATAGTACGACGGTCCCTAAGAGATATAAGGTTGAAGTGCGTTAGTTTATCCTCATAAGTCCTTAAGTTCCTAACCCCAAAACGGTAAGCTAGATGTCGGACTAGTCTCTTTTGGATTTGTTCTATTTTATTTATGTGAACTTGGTACATTGGGTTCCATACCGTGCTGCAATATTCCAAATGACTTCGTACATAGCTATTGTATAAAATGATCATGGTAGATGGCTTTTTAAATTCTTTCGAAGAACGTAGTACAAAACCCAAGGCTCGATATGCTGAGTTAGTTATCGTATCATAATGATGTATAAAGTTAAGTTGACTGTCCAAATGTATTCCTAAGTCTCTGATAGTGGTTACTTCTTTTAATTTGTCTCCTCGAATGTTGTACTCAGAAGGGATTTTGTTGCGTTTTCTGGTGAATTTAATGTGGTAACATTTGGCACAGTTTAAATTCATTTTGTTACTGAGACACCATTGATTTAAATTATCAAGGTCAGCCTGAAGTAAACTTACATCTGATTCTTTCAAAATTATACGGGTCAATTTTAAGTCATCTGCGAAAAGATACGGTGTTGAATGTATGAACACTTGCGATATATCATTGATGAATATATTAAAAAATAGGGGTCCCAAATTGGAACCCTGTGGTATACCGGATGTAGCAAAATATGGCTCAGACTGGCTGCCATCAACGGCAACTGAGGATGGCCTGTTGTTGAGATAGGAACTACACCAGCGTAGAGTTGATTTAGTAACACCGAGAGCACGAAGTTTGAATAATAAAATTTTATGATTAACCCTATCAAAGGCCCTCGAAAAGTCGGCATATATTGTGTCAACCTGAAAACCTTGATCAACTGCAGACGCCAATTCTGTAATGTAAGTAACTAGGTTGGTGTTTGTAGACTTATTTACCATGAAACCGTGCTGATTATGGGATAGATATTTCTTCACGTGATCATACAATACAGGATATATAAAACATTCGAAAGCCTTGGACAGGGTACATAGAATGGAGATAGGCCGATAATTAGACACCATATCCCGTTTACCATTTTTGTGAACGGGTACTATTCTAGCCTGTTTCCAAACGTCAGGAAAAACGCCTGTTTTGAGGGAAGTGTTAAAAATTATTGCTATGGGACAAGATATCGGACGGGCGCACCGTGACCAGAATGTAGGAGGTATGTCGTCGGGCCCTGCGCCTTTAGAGAGGTCCAGTCCAGAGAGTTTCTTATACACTGCATCTGGAGTAATAGAAATATCGTTGATGTCTGTTACCGAAGCCGAGCAGGTATAATGATTACTGAAATCGTGATCAGAACTGGCAGGATCAAAGACCGAAGAGAATTGTTTAGCGAATAAATTTGAAATAGAGGTACTGTCACATGCAGTTGAGTTGCCCAACACCATTTTAGAGGGGTAGGAATTATTGCTCTTCCGGAGATTTTTTATATGTGTCCAGAAAAACTTCGGATGTTCTTTTATTTTAATTTCTATTCTTTCTATATAATCATTGTAACATTGTTGGGTATGGGTATGACATTCTTTTCTTATGTAATTAAATTCCAAAATATCTAATGGATTTTTATATTTCCTTATTCTCTTACGTAATTTTAATTTCTGGTTGAGCATTTTTTTAAGTTGATTAGAATACCAGGCTGGATATTTCCCACGGAAGTATACTGTTTCGGGTACATGTTTTTTTATAATATTTCTAAGTATCGTGTAAAACCTATCCACCATCACATTGACACCCAGATAAGATGAAAACTCATTAGACCAATTAATTTTGCTAAGTTCTAAGTTTATTGTTTCATAGTCAGCCTTATAATAGTTAAGTTTTGTCACCTTTTTTGTATCATTTTTAATATAAATCGGAACTTTTGGCGAAAATACTAAGGCTGGGTGATATTTATCTGTTTTACGGATAGGATCGATACAATCTGTAACTTTTATTTCCTCAAAATCTGAGAATATTAAATCAAGCATTTTATTATTACAATTTTTTATACTGTTGAATTGTTTTAAATTATTTAGGGAAATAAAATTTAATAATTTATTTTTTAAGTTACTACTGTTACTTGTAGAAGCCATATACGAGCCATCGTTGCTGTCACGGATCCAATCTATACAACTCAAATTAAAGTCACCAATTATCAGTGTGTAACTATCACAATTTG